ATAACTCTGTCCCACTGGTTTTTGGTAGAACTACATTCTGTGAATGAAGTTACTCGGGTGTGTATTCAGAACTCAACCCTCACACTACTTTACCTTACCCCTCTCTATCTCATTCACATATTAACAGTATATTGTGTTCTGGGTTAAATTGGAGAGGACCTGGTTGCTTTTATTTGTTCTCTAACTTTGATTGCTTAGGTAGAAATGGACAAATCTCTTGGATTTTCCTGTGTAATAGGAATGGAAAGCTAGATGTTAATTTTTGTCTTTTGTGTGTATGCACACTCGTATAGAAAACTTTCTGTGGTAATGATCCATGATCAGACGAGGAGATGATTCTGTACAGGAGCATGTTGGGCATTTAATTACACCGAAGGAAAATCTAGGTAATGGTTTTAATTAATGAATTTTCTGTTGTGATAATGTATAACATGAGGAAAAAGTGAAGACAGTTCTTTCAAAGGGATATAAATTCATGCTGTGAAAAGTGAGGAAAAATACCAAGGTTGAGACAGTTTTTGTCAATAATATACAAGCTTTCTGGCCAGAGCAGGTTAACTTATTTCAGTATCTGGAAAGAGATGCATTTCACAGTCTCTCTCATGCTACAGCTTGTCCTCTGTGGAGTGAGCATAATGCTTCTGGGTCACATCAGAGTTAGTGTCAACAGCTTCAGTCCACTGCACAAGATGATTATGGGCATCCTGCTTGTATGCGATGGATTTACTTTCCAAGGAACTCCTATACCTGTGCAATTACAGCCTAGCACAGGGCTGGAGATGCAGAACAAGAGCAGGGTGGTGTTCGAGTGCATCCAATTGTTCCTCGGCCATGAGCCAGTTCCTGTCAGACTCTCAGCTGTCCTGTGAAGGAAGGTCCCTGGGAGCTGGCAGGCTGCAGTGGCCTCCCTTGGCCATGTGTTGAGCATCCAACTTCAGGTCTGGCTGAGCCTCAGGAAGGACTTGGGATATCTTTTATTTCTTACTATCTGAGCTTCATAACTGAAAGGACAGTATGAGTCTTATCTCCCATTTGATGGTTAAACCTAAATGTGTCATACTTTATCTGGGGAACGAGAACATTATTAAAGTATTCTGGACTATCCAATGCTTGGTCTGACTATTCTGAAGTGCTTTGAAGGAGAGCAGACATAGACCTGGTTTAAATTTGGTCGGTAAAGCTGAGTTTACTGTTCTTTTACATTGCTAGGGCAGTATATACCAGTAGAGCTTATCAGAAATTGCCACATTTTATTTTTCTGATTTCTACCTAAGGATTAGATTTATTTTGTTTTACAAAGAGACAAGAAAAGAGTATGCCTCCAATTTCTATTATCTTTAACTTGAAGATTGATGCTTCCTGTTCTTATAACGCACAAGAAGTCAACAGTTGCAAAGGTGTTTGTGTCTGATTTGTGCTTACTTTACTGCAACCTTCCCTTACAAGATTGTAAGAAGGCTTAAGTTGTTATGAGACTGATGTTAAGGTTGGCAAAGAGGTGGTGTTCTTAGCTTGTTTTCTTAGAAAGATTTCTGAAATAGTCATGTGTGGTGGTTGTGGTGCTATACCTGATCTTGTCTGAAAGAAAAAACAATGCAAAAGGGCAGTAAGTAGAGTTAAAAAACACATGCTACCACTTTTCTAATTAAAAAAAAAAAAAAAAAGGAGGTTAAGACTAAATTGCAAAGCATGCTATTTAAGAACTATTTTTGGAGGGGGGGAGGGGATTATCTTCACATAGGAAGGGGTGTGTAGAAGCACTGAGAAATAGACTCCCAAATCCAAGTTTTCTTTAGAACAATGATTTCTCACAGGATTTGAGGAGAGGAAAGTCCTTTGGGTTTTAAGCACAGAGGAAAAATAAAAGAATATTTAGACTGACTTTCTGCTTATGGTTTGATTTATTATTGTATCTTTTTGTAAAGACCAGCCATGGAAAGACAAAAGCAAGTCTGTCAGGTACCTAAATATGTTTAAGAATTGGAAAGTAACAGCTGGGTGTTTAGAAAAAATAAACTGTTTCCTTCAGAACAGTGATGTGTAAACTGAGCGTGACAGGAAAAGAATGACTATTACAGACAATCTTCGCACAAATACAGAGGCACACCTGGTGAACAGCACAGTTTACTAAGGGTCAGGATTGCCTCTTCCTAAAGGCACTGGGAAGATTAGAAAGCAGGAGAATTCACACATCATTCACTGATTTATGTTATAGGCCCATTGACAGGTGCTCTGTAGGTAGTATTGTCTGATGGCATCTTATTTGCACAGACACCTCATTTTTTTCACTGGTAAGAACTACAATAAAAATTCTTCACCATTTTTGTTTAAAAAGAAAAATATTATTATTTCATAATAGATGTCACACTTCTTTTATCTGTGCTTTGCTGTCTCTAGGAGTTGAATAAATTCCAATATTAACATAGAGGTAACATTAATCCTTTCCAAATAGTAGAATCGGCATGTGATTGAAGTCACTTGTGCTGCAAATATGCAATTAGTATGACTCTAAGTGTCATATGAAGCCCCACAGCCTGCACAGGTTAATGAGTACAGAATACTTAGTGGATGAAATGCTAACCCTGCATAGGAGAGATGAGATTCATCTAAAGCAAAACATTATCATGCCACTGGCACATAAAATTTAAATCATATAAGAAACTTCTTTTTATTTAGAGAAGACAGAAAATGAAAAATCAATAAATATATAAGAAAAAGAAACAAACTTAGCCAAATATCTATACATTGACTGCCTCCATAATAATTATTGCTATTCTGTAAAGAGATGGAGTTACGGACAACTTTCAACTCAGTGTTCAGCATGTAAGAAAAAAATCTGAGGTTAGGAGTTACTAATAAAAAAAAAAGGCAATATTACACTATTGGATCAGGTAATTGTGTATGTATATTTTGAAGGCTGCGTATTATTCTGGAAAAAGGAGCTACTAAAAGAATATCTTAAAAAACACAGGAGATCTATGGGGGAAAAAAGAGAAGGCCTTCAAGGTTGACCAGAACTACAGAGCTCTACCTCCACAGCGGAAGAGCCTTGTATTGCTAGGGATGCTTGAAGTACTCAAAGGAACTCCACCTGAAGGGGCAGCTTGCCTGAATTCTGCAACACGGTTCAGTGTGGGTCTCTCAACATATCACTTCACCTAGGCTGAAGCCACCTATCTGTCACCTCCCATGATGGACTGTCTTGTGCTTTGTAGGCTAAGGACATGGAGAGGTATTAGATATGAAACATCATGAAGACACGAAGCCTTTAGCTAAAGAGTCCTGAAAGCGTTGCTGGCCAGAAACTTGGGAAAGGTATTTGACCACTTTCTCAGCTTGATTCATAGTAGATTTGAAACATTTTATCAACTACTTTGGGAGGCAGTAAACTAAATGGCCTCACCCAACATGGCAGTTTAGGTTGAGACAGGGAAGAGACAGAGCTTGTAAATAGTTTTAAAGAGAATACAAAGTCATATGACAAAGAGACTCCCACAACCATCCAATACTACTGTGGACACCCTATTCAATAGATATAAATTCCTTTTATCTCAGAGAAACAGATAAGCACTCTATTCTCATCCCAAATTTAAGAACGCTTTTAAAATTTAGTTTGTTTTAAATTGTTCAGTGGTTGAAAGGTGAAAATTTAAAATGCCCACATTTAGTTGAGTATTTTGTGAAACAGTCCCTTTTGTTTTACCTTTCTTCATTGTAGCTGGCACATGTATGTGCCGTAGCTCTTTAAGCCACCTGCAGGCACCACCCAAGCTGGAGAAGGGGAAGTATGGGGTTGATTCACCTGTTTCTTACAGCTTTCAAGGAGCTGGTTTTGCAGTGCAGTATTTTTTCCTTCTTCCCACTCCTCCTTACCAACATATTAAAAATCTTCACCTGGAGAGCCCTCTTGTATGAATTACATGAAACTGAGAAGCTTAGAAAGTTTAGCTTCCTATATTTTTTGTTATATATAGTTTTGTGTTGTAGAGCCAAAAATACATCAGTCTTCTATAATTCAAATCTTTCTTGCTTTTGTAGGCAGGTTTCAAAATGTAGCTATTTTGCTTGATGTTAATTTCTGTCTCTGCTAATTGGTTTTTCAGGTTTTTTTCTCCCTTAATTTGTATGCATTGAACTGACTTTAATTAAACCTGCTTGAGAGACAGCTTCTTTCTTTATTCCCATAATTCCTTTTTTCTTAATTCTGACATATCCCAAAATGTCTGCTTTCATTTACCCTGGCATGAATTCACTGTAATTCCATCAGTCACTGGAGTTACTTTGAATTTACTGCTGTATAAGCAAGAACAAAATTTGATCCCATGATTGACAACTACAGACATCTGAATGGAGGGAAACCACACAAACCTTTCCAAAACAGTGTTCAGTCTTTACTCTTCATGGATTTCATGTCACCAAGGAATGTGTCAAGTGACTATGCCAGTGACCATATGATGGGAAAAGAAATCTAAACATATGAATATAAGAATTAGATATTACTAATGAGCAAGCCTGCAAATTAGCATATTCTGACGTAAGGGAAGGGAAGCCTAGTACAAGTCAGATGCTTTGTTTTTAAAAAGTAGACCACAAGAATTTCTCCCCTCCCCTCCCCCCCAAAAAATTAGAGAGTAGGAACACCTTAAGAACACCTCAAACGGTTACTAGCCATGCTTGCTTCTGGTCAGTAATCACTATTTTATTTTCTGAAATGGTAATGAGTACCTTGTCTTACCTATCAAATCATATGTTGTGTTTAATTGCTTCTGAGTTGCATGAAGGCATTTCACAATTAAAAATTTACAATAATTTTTATTTGTCCTTCAGGAGAGGAATTTTGTTTTCTTAACTGCAAAAAAATTAAGCAAAAGTAAGAAAAGGCAGGTATAATATTTACATCTAGTCCTATTTCTACCAAAGTCTAAAATTTCAGTAGTCCACGTCCCAAAGGTTAAAGTACTATTTCCTGATGTTTAATGACTCTCACCTATGTTCTACAGAAAAATGGAAAGGAAGAGGAAGAGCAGGGTCACATTTTGAATCAGCACGAAGACGGAGTAGAGCGGTCCTTTATCATATATCTGGACATCTACAAAGAAGAGAGAAGAACAAATTAAAAATTAATAATGTAGGTGTAATTCTTCTGTTTTTCAAAAATGTACTCTTTGTACTGTCTTTTTTTTTTTTTATTAAAAGCTGTAAAAGGTCACTGGGTACCTAATATTATGACTAGGACATTTCTTATGGTTACAAAAGGAATAAAGTGCAGTTCATTTAAGTGCAGTTCTGACTACTATGGTATTTGTTACACTTCATATATCAAGACAGTGTACTTAGCCGTACTGTAAACAGACATTTATTTAACCCCAGGAAAGAGACATTTTAAAATATCCTAGAACTTAATTTTGGGTTCCAATTTGCCTTACTGTCCCAATTATTTTATTTCAGTGATTACTGTTTGCCAAAAAATTAATGAAGAATATCAAAGTATTGCGCTAGCTGAAAATCTCTATACTGCATATGTTCCAGGAGGTCACATTTCATTTAGGCAACTTTTCGTGGGAATGTCTCCAACTTTGTGCTGAGTAAATTTATCTTTTCATTTCAAAATTGAAATAGTAATATTTCTTTCCTTAAATTACTTCTATGTTTCCTTATTAAGTATAACAAAAAAGTAAGTTCATAAACCACCATGTGAATGTTGTAAAAACCATATTAAACAATAGGCAAAACAAAAAATATAGCAGCAGAAAGATTTCTAAAGAAATACACTCCGGAATAAAAATAACCCTTCTTTTCTATGGAACTACGTTTCAGGAGAAAAGTTAATGCAGAGGAAAAGTAGAGATGTATATGAAATCAGTATGTACATATAAAAAATTGCTAGAATAATATCTGAGAGCCTGTTCCAACAGTGAGAGCCTATAGTTATTATAAGAAGGGGTAGTAAAAAGAAGTATTTTTTCTTAAAATCTCAGAACAGTATTTAGTTTTTTGTTTGTAACATTAGAAAGATCAACTCTGACAGAGCCACAAGAAGAAAATGGTCTTTTTTTTTTTTTCTTTGTTATGGTTATGAGGAAAATGGAAGACAAACAATGGAAAAAGTAACCAAAGGATATAGATTATGAAAACCCTGAAAAAATGATCTGCCACTGGGCATGTTCCTTTTGTTGGTTACCAAAAGTGAGCAGCAGCAGTGCAGACATATTCTCCAAGTTATTATGTTAGAAATTAAAAGCAGAAAAAACTTGGTATAGATTAAGGATGTGAAAATACACAGCTGGTATATACCTCAAAGGGCATACAGTCACTTCCATTGAATCTAAATGTTAAGTGTTAAACAAAAAGGTTAAAAAGCTAGAAACGTTAAAAATGTTAAATGTTGAAAAAGTGTAAAATAAAAAAAAAGTCTGCAAATTATGATCTTTCCGTAATATTTTCGTAACACAGTAATATTTTTTAGAAACATGACTTTTAAATAGCTTTTGGTGTGACTTTCTTGTACTGTCAAAAGCCTAGTGCAGATGATATACTGGTTGAAAACCTTTGTTGTCAGGCTAATTTACTGCCTTTAGGGCATAGGTTTTTACAGCTATGAATTGGAAGTCATAAGAGGAACATTTCTTCTCTGTGATTCCAAATGGGCTGATGCTAACAGTAAGAATTCAGCCCCTAAGATTCATGAATGAGAACCAAGAATGGAGAAGGCAAGGAGGCAGGGACATCACTATTTCAAAAGAAATGCACAGAGAAGAGCTGTGACAGGCAAGGCAAATGGAATTATGTCTGCGGTCACAGAGTTGTTGTCTTTTTATATTCATAGTGAATAACTTCAAGATCAGAAGTAATCCTAGCTTGCTGAATACACAGTGTTGTTTTGTGAGGCTTTTCATTACTGGAACAGCATTAACCGGGGACATAATGACAGCGAGCAAGAATTTTGTCAGTAGATAATACAAGACAGTTCATGTAGCGCATGCTGCTTTCCAGGAGGGTAGGTGTTTTTGTTACAACTCTGGAGGATGAAAGCTAAGAATTTAGAAAACTGGTATGTGAGACTGAAGTCTGTTGCAAAGACCTTTGATGGTTACATGGTGAAGACTCAAGACACATGATAAAAGTAGTACGGTCTAATGATGAAAGTAGTTGATTCTGAAGCAGTATTATGGTGGGTTTACATTAGTATTTTGGTTTAGATAAGGAGTACAATTTTAAAGAGAATCCAAAATTATTCCTATTAACTGTGGTTTGGTTCAGTCTCAGCCACCCAAATTGGATTCCCTCAGATGAAACTAAAACAAGGAGAGGTGCTGTAACTACTTAAAGCTGTTCAGTCCACAGGACCAGGCTAGAGCTGGTCTGAAACAACCTCCTTCCAGCTCTAAAATATATGTAGGAAGGATGTTTGGTCTTCAACACCACCTATTCCCTTCTATATGATTATTCAGATTTGCATTAGTATGTGCTCAAGTATTCAAAGCTTTAGCCTATCTCTCCAGCAGAAAAACATTACTCTTCAGTCAGAATTTGCCCAACAGAGGAAGAAATAGTTTGACAGATTCAGTCCTCTTCTCATTCTATCTAATCTGTTCCTTATTAGTCCTCTTCTTGTCCCAACAGCCACAAAAGTTATTCCATCAACAGAACCATCTGTCTAAGTAAGTGTGAGGACTACATTAGAGAAAAAAAAATAGTATTAGTTCTTGCCTGCATATGAGTGTGTCATATTTCTTTGTTTTTTAAAAAAACAAGTGGCTGCACTGAAATTTGTCTGTGTGATCAAATTATTGTTTTGTCTCATGTCATCTTTTTCTCTCTTTTTCAGAATGTTTTTGTAGATAAACCAGCATTTCCAGAATATAAAGTTTCAGATGCAAAAAAATCCAAATTCATATTGTTGCATTTTAGCACTTTTAAAGCTGGCTGGGACTGGCTTATTTTACTGGCAACGTTTTATGTTGCTGTGACTGTACCTTACAATGTTTGCTTTATTGGCCATGATGAGCTGTCTACAACTCGAAGCACAACTGTCAGTGACATTGCAGTGGAAATTCTTTTTATCATAGGTAAGATATATTTGGGATTTGTCTGGGGTCTCTTTTTTGACATTTAAAGTTTTCATAGCATGTATAATGTAGAACAGAAAATAATCATGACTCATGATTTTAAAGAAAATCCATTTTAGCTGTGTACTTTGAGATTTTATTTGCACTTTAGATCAACTTTTTTTTTCTTTTTTACTTTACATTGATTCAGATAGTCATGCTTTTACTCAAAAGGTACCTTTTACCTTAAGAAAGGTTGAAAACCATTGTTTTAATATGCGGGTGCCTAAAATCTTCCCAGTCTAGGAATGTGCCCTGCAATTACTCCAGTGTTGTTCATAATGTAACTTTTTTTTAACTACCTTTCACAGACACCTAGAAGACTCATGGACCATAAACTGAAAATCACTAGGTTTTAAAAACTAATGATATAAGATTAAAACTCATACTGCAATAATGGAAATGTATAATATCAATATGCTATACTGCCAACTGGGATAGAATTTGAAAGGTTGCAACTTGTCATTTGGTCTGTTCTCTAAACTTTTGATGCAATGATCCATTTAACCCTTGTACCTTCAATAATTAAAATGAAAACAAGGTCATGTCTAATAGTGGCCTTGTAGCAAAGGAATTTCTTTTTTGTATTATCTTATTCATTTCTATGTGAATATAGGAAAGAATCCCTGACTAAGGTCACACAGATTTTATCCCAAGTTTTTATTATTGTGACACCATTCAGTGCTGTCACACGGGCTAACTATACCTCAGAACCGTTGATAACATGCAGGTAGAGAAACTATTATTTTAAAGAAATAAGCAAAGTTGAGTAAGTGATTCCTTGAATATGAAAAGGTTTAGGCTGGTTTCTAAGAGAGAAATAATAATGAACAAAGGATAAAATTTTCCTCAGATTTGAAACTTCTTTTCTAATGTACTTTTTTTCTATTTTTTCCTGAAAAAAATTTAGCTTAACTCGGACATTGAAAGCAATGCTTTGTTCTTCTTTAGGAAAACAAAAGACTACTGAAACACTTCTAAATGTAATTTTTAACATTTTAACATTTCTTAGTGTTTAAGAAGTGTGAACTTCTTAAACACTAAGAAATAACTCAGAATGTCTTCATTTTAACAGATTTTTTTTTTTTTAATTTGAAAAGTTCATTCCATTTCTTTGACATCTTTACTGTAGACAATAAGACTAGTAGGTAATGTGACTGATGGAAGAATCAGATATCATGATGGATAAATATTTGTGTTTCCTCTTTTGGACATTGATTTGACATTATATTTGAGGTCTGATTTTCCCCTTTTATGCTCAGTATTAGATCTTGGTGAACTCATTGATGTTAATCCAGACAACTCACATTGAACGACATTCAAGCACTGCAGTAAGAAACCTCTGTTTTGCTATCCAGATCATCTTTTGTCTTGTGTCAAAAGAGCAAGGCTATGACTCTAGTCAGTCATAAAGGACTACACATTCCATTTTCAGGAATGCAAAATGAAATAATTCCACTTGATCTACCTGGATATCTTCATAAAAAAAGTAGACATAGGTTAAGATATTTTGATAATGGTTTTACCCTTCACATCACACCAGTATAGATAACTGGTTTGTGTTATGAAGGCGTTTAATAGCATCTAGACACCCGAGAGTATAATACGTATCTAACTGATTTATGTGTTGTAGTATCCATTTGAAGCAAGACAGATGGTGTAATGCTCAGTGCTGATTTTCTGTTTATATTTTTTTCTGGAAATATACATTTCTTAGGAAGATAAAAGCAAGGGTACGTCTATGATTATTAAAGTAGCTGGGTTAGAAAAATAGAAGGAATAAGATTTTCTGTAAATTTTACTTCATATTTTCTGGTTAGACTTTTAGATTTGTCATCCAAGAAGTCAAACTATGGTTGTAACTAAATACATTCTAAGAAAGGTGTATAAAGTACTAGAAAAGACTTCTTTGCATGGTTATGTTACTGGTAACCACAAACACTGTACAGCAGCATGTCACTATTCCTCCTCCACAGTTTCAATAATGGCTCCATTTCCTCCAAAATAATTATTTCCAAAGTTATTATCTGTTTTAAATTTATGGCTCTGGGGAAAAGTTTATGGAGTATTTTTATTCTCATAGTGGATTTAAATCTCTGCAATGAATTTAAAGAAAACAGTATTTTTATAGTCACCTCTCAATGATCTCTTGACCGTTAAAATGTTGAGTGAATATGTCTTAGAACATGTGTGAGATTGATAACATACATAAATTTAAGCATAAGTTTCAGGCATTGTCACACTGTGGTTCTCGCAGTCTTTGATAGATGATCTGTCTGCTTTGAGAAAAGTCAATGAGAAGTGTTGAGTAAAATTCTTTTTACGATGCTGCTGCCTCAGAACATCAGTGGGGACATGTGGCTGACTTGGGGCCTTCAGCTGTATTACAGCTCTGTAATCATGGATTGAGATATTACAACTCTGTAATCATGGGTTGGAGAAAAAGAGTCTAACTATCTGCTTTGAGTTTATACAGATTTCTCAGAACATAGAACAATATATACCTTTTATGCACGTAACTTGCATAAACTATTTATACTTAACAACGTTTTTGTTTTTAGCTGTGTTATCAAAGGGAGCAGAAACATGACAATAAATGGGTGTCTGCTCATCAGTTCAAGCAAAATAATAGGATAGAGACAGGGTTTTCTTTAAGCAGAACAGTTTGAATAAATTTAGTGGCATAAAAAAAACCTTTTAGGTTTATCCAATTTGTGATTCAGCGTATGCTTAAGCATGATAAAAATACATGTGAAAGTGTCCTCCTGACTTGCGGTGCTTTTAAGTAGAAGTGTTGATCTGAATTAAAGCACTTATGAGGAAAGAGTACATGTAGCTAGAGGTTTAACTGCTCCAACCTTTCAAGTTCTTTAAAACAAACAGAAGCTAAACCATAATAACAACAACCCATTTTGTCCTGTCTCTGGGGAAAAGGTCAGAGAGGGAACATAATTAAGTTTTCTCAAATTAAGATAAAATTATTTTCACTTAATGTTTACTGTATATCCTAGTGCTTTCATACCTTGTGTGATGTGATGTTTGAGTGTACTTGCAGATCTCTTACTCTTTAATGAGTGCAACTTTCTCTTTCTCCTGTAAATAAATCTTTTGCTTCTTCTATCCAATGATAGCTTAAATATTTCTAAGAAGTATAATGAATCTCGGTTACTTTTCAATAATACCTGTAAAATAAATTTTTCTCTCTTTTGGAGAGAAAAGCTGGGAACCCAGTTAATCCCATTTTATTAGTAATAACCTCCTGATTGCAAAACTTCTACTCTTCTGTAACTGTCCAGTGTATGCTTTTTTCCCTCTAACAGTTTCTTTCAAGTTTTCAGATGTTGTCTGTCGGGGGAGGGGGGGGATTTTTTGTTTGGTTGTTGTTGTTTTGTTGTGGGGTGGTTTTGTTGGGTTTTGGTGGGTGGTTGTTGTTGTGTTGGGTTTTTTTTTTCCATTTTGAAAATGTTATTAAACATCTTAATTGAAGTAAGTAACATTACCAAAAAAAATATCAATACTTTACTGCTAAATGGTCAGACCCACTCACAGGACTATTTGAATAGGATGTCTTCAAGAGGAGTTGAGATTAATGTGATGATTCAGAGGAAAGATGTACAGGCTTTCGGGGTAATGATAATGTATTATTTGCTAAATAAGATCAAAGGTGTCTGAGTATTTTGTCTTCTAACGTGGCAAGGAACAACTACGGAGAGAAGAGCTATAAAAATAAATTACCTTTAACTTTTAATTTTAGGTTTGTATTTGTGGGTCATCCAGTTTGTAGTGGAAGATAGATAACCCTGGATACTAATTATAGCTATGAAATTATACCATTTATAGATGTACTGGCATGGTAATTCTAAGTGTTTTTTCCACAACGTAATCCTTTGCCTATCTGTGGAAAAATGACAGCATATGCATCCTTTCCTCCACTCTCCCTACACACATTCTCATCTGAAGACTTTACCTATGGCTTGTATTTTCAAGAGAGAAAATTAATCATGGTTACAAAGATCTCTTCTCTTTGTAAGTGTATCTCTCTCGTTAAACACTATTTAACAAAGTGCATTATTAGCAATTTCAGTTTTTAAAAGCAGCATGTTTATAAGCTGTAAAGCTGTGATTTGTATTGCATAGTACAGACTTGCTGGCCCATTAGTGTCTATCACAAATGTAAATGACTCAAAATCTTTCCAAAACTGTCTCAAATCATATGAAGTCCTTGAGTCTCAGATCTTCAATATGAAGAGATTTTTAAATATGGTACAAACCCACTAGAAATGTATATCATCATTCATGACTTATACTCTCATTCAAGTGTGTCTATTGTATTAAAAATAATATATGTTAAAATTTGTTGGAATCATATGAGATAGTATGAAATACTATAGATTAGGTTGCTTTAAATTAGAAGGTTTGTTTTCTTTTTTCTCTCAGTCCTTTTCATTATGATCATGATTATAATTTCATATCTTTGCAAGTGCATGGAAGATCACATAAAAAACAGTATCTGTCAGACGACCTTACGCTAGGAGAACTTGTGGATTTTGAAAGAAAATGGCAGTGTTTCGAACTGTATTTTCTAAGTATGCTTTCACAACCTAATATGCTGGAATTCATGGAGAGGTTTGAATTTATGTCTGAGCATAGGATGGTCTCATCTGTGACTACATAGGAACAAAACATGAAACCAGATAGAGTGACACTGTTGATACAACTAATGTTAGGGAGGGAAGGCCACACTAGATTGTTCATGGACTATGGATTGCCTAGTAATTGGAATAAACAGTACAAAATGTTTATGATGAAAAGCAATAATAAATTTCCTGAAGATTCTCACTTAAACCGTTAAACTGAAGATGGCAAAATCGCTATATTGTTAGATTTTTTCCAATAGCCTTTCTTACATAACCTTGTAAGGAGGACAGATGCTAGTCTGCACACAGGATATTGTTTCCATG